GCTTATTATTCAAATAATTCAAATAACTAATGATAAACATAAAAGTACTATGTTCTCTGTTTTTATTTTTTTAATCTCATATATTTGTTTATTCTTTTTTATTTTAAACAGAAAAAAATTTCAAAACAAGATAATATAAGCATAACAGTGGTTACAACATTGCGTATTGTTATCTTTAGCTTAGTTAATCAGAGTACAAGATATGGGCATTTCTTAGTTCATTGAAAAGAAAGGTTTGTGCTAATATTATTTGTTTTCTGTTTTTAGATTGATGATCATGCACAAAGTTCAACTAAATTTAATTTAAAATTGTTCAACAATAGTACTTTTTTCACAGCTGGGTAGGTATATTTTTCAGCGTGGAAAATAAGAAAGAAATCTTTGTTCCTTTGCCTTCCACATTCTGACTTCAAACAAATTTCTTAAGTCTTTTCTTACTTTTTCATTTATAAAATGAGATGCTTAGTGTTTATGTAGGATTAAGTGGGACAATATTTATAAAGTGCTTAGAGCTCTAATTTGTACATAATGGTTCTCAGTAAGTAATAGCTACTATTAACTAAAGGCAATGAAATGGCTTTAATGTTCTATGATCAATCCAACAGGCTTTAATAGCTCTTGGATAGTCCAGTTAATCATAGGAAGGAATCTTTTGTGGACTGAAACTAAGGAGTTTGGGCACTTAGAAGTCAAGAAAAGTTGCAGAAGATCATAACTGACAAAAAATAGCCTATAGGAATATAGTTTGTACTAAAAGGGAGAAGAGATTAAAGGGTGTAGAAAAAAACGACCCAGTTCAAGAGCAACTCTCTTAGGAGAAAAGATGGAGAGATAGACAAGCAGAAAAATGATGTCTCAAGTCCACTTTACAACCCACTGCGAGTTCTGGAACTCTCTGGTTTAACTTTTGAACATGTTTGTGCTTAAGTTACCTTGTAACATGATGATCTCACATATATATTACAGTGGTCTCAGTCATATGTGTTAATTGTCTTTGAATCAAGAAAGAGGCTAGCTACATTTTTAAATTAAAAAATACTCCACATTTTCCTGAAGAACTGTTATCTCAAATCAAAGGTAGATGCTCAATTCATGGGGAGGAGGGCAGTTGTGCTGTTATCTTCCTCGTTCATACTATTGTGGAAATATTACACGGAAGAGTGACTCTTAAAATAGCAATAAGAAATCTACTTATATTTTGCATCAAATACAGAGTCAGGGTTACTAACAGGCTGGTAGTTTCTGCTTTACTGAGACACACAAAAGACTGAACTATATGGCCTGTTAATATGTGTATTTCTGAGTCACCAAGGAATAAAAAATAAAGCCACTGTTGGGAATAATGTGTTGGTTTTCTGACATATTGGGGTATCTGTCTTTGGTGCTATTTGCAATTTTCAGGAAAGCCATTAATGAAAGCTGGAAAAAATGACTATAGCACAGGACGTTGAGGCTATTCATACATTCTGAGTACTGATGCTATTTTGGTGGATGACTTGTGCTTGAATGGAGAAAGATCATAAAGCATCCAGCACTGGTAAATGAAGGGCAGTTTAAGTAGTTTACCCCAAAATATACTTAAATTTACAAATCATTGATGAGATGATTATTGCCTACAACTACAGAAATGTTATTTTGAAAGCAACTTATGGGAGATATGCACATTGAACACAAAGGATGAAGGAAGAACGGATAAGATTTTACCAATTTTCCAAGCAAACTCTCATAAGCGAGCAGAAAAACAATATAGTCATGAAAGGAAGCCCTTAATTTAAAAAATTGAACTGACTTTTCTATTCTCTTAGGTGATGATTGTTTAAGATATGTTCTCTAAACACAAGTATATAATGATTTTTTGATTTCTTAAATCAATGAATTTTTGAAATGCTCCTGGTTCTGCCTGGATTTCAAGGATGAAAAGAGTGGGCAGTTCAGAAAGGGAATTACTAACATCTTTGGGAACTAGCCCACAGGACCGCTATCAAATTGGGTCCAAATACTATCAGTTGGTCAGTAAGGCAGGGTACTATCAGAGGCTTGCGGGCTGACCATGGATGCAGCTTCTGTCTCTCTCCCATGGGAAAAGGTGACAACATAGCTATGCTTGTAGAGAGCATTGTCATATTGAAGGCATGACAGCCAGAATTCTATCTTTACTGTGTTCTTTTCTTGAATACTCAAGACTTGTACAAAGACTTGGGTGTGCATTTGGCATGTTCAGAGGAATCAAACCTTACAAATTCAGGAAATCTTGAGAAGTTTTGGCTACACTTTCAATCTCTCATTCAGAATGGCTCTCATAGATAGATGAGAGAGATGTGTCATTTGTTTTGGTCATTTATCCAGTATATATTTGCTTGAATAAAGGAACCATAGGGCGCACTTTACCATTTTGTCAAGCATGTTTTGGACCTACTAAATAGGTCTAGAAAAGGTCTCAGGAGCCATCTAGAACAGTCTGCTACCTTCAAGCAGGTGACATTTGGGTCTGAGAGGTTAATTTTTACTAATTTCATATGGATAAGCCACTTTGAACGTGTTTCATCAGTTCAGCTGGAACCTAGATAAAAATTGTAACATGAACACTTAATAAAATAGTGAAAAATGCATGGCTATCATTTTTTTTTTTGCTTTTTTCTGGTGCCGGGAATGGGACTCACGACCTTGCACTTGCCAGGCAGGCGCTGTGCTGCTGAGCTAAATCCCCAGCCCCAGGTAAATCCCCAGCCCTTTTATTTATTTATTTATTTATTTTTTTTTTTTTTCTGGTGCCGGGAATGGAACTCACGACCTTGCACTTGCCAGGCAGGCACTGTGCTGCTGAGCTAAAATCCTCAGCCCCTGCATGGCTGTCATTACCATAAGTACATGTCTGGTCTTTGTTCAATTGGGAGTTCATCATATATTTACACATGGAATTTTCAGTCAAGCAATTAATTTAGTAGATGTAAACTATACATTGAAGGAAAAGGCCTGAACAGCTAAGAAAACTGTGATTTTTGCCTAAACCATGTGTTATGAAATTTCTGAGGTCCCTGTTGATAGGTGCAAAGGCAAGTAAGCTTACAGGTAACACAGCATCAGTTTTAGAAAATGACCTGCAAGGACCTGTGACAGAAAGGGAAAGATTAAAGGACTAAGATGTGATAACGGGCCCACTGTGGAAAACAGCTATCAAAAAGCAGCAGGCATCTGGGAAAGAACTTTCTTTTTAGCCCGCATGCCAGAAATACGTTGGCATTGCCTCTGGAATTGGAACAAAACCAACTTTTAATTGGTTTTAAAATCTGGAATGGAACATTCCTGCAGTCATCCATGAACCGACCTTATCCCGTACAGGTTGAGTGAATCCTGGCCAGCTGTCTGCCTTGTGAATTGTTTTGTTTGGGTCTCTCATGGGACAGAGAGTACTTGTTGTGCAGTACTTTCATGTCAAGTTACAGCCCTTCATAATGTTGCTTGAGCGAAGAATTCAGAAAGAAGAGAAATCATCAGGGAAAGAAATCAATGCCTTCACTCATTTGCCTTGTAGTTGGACAGACCTGCAAGGCTGGAAATTACCACCAGCCTTCTTTATATCTCAGGATGATAGCTCCCAAAATGAAGGCTTATTCTGATTGATGAGAAATAGGTGGGCTAATAGATCACATTAGTGAAGCCATACAGGTATTTCAAGATGGATTTAATTTAGAATGTCACTACTTTCATTATTGTAACTCTGAAGTTCCCTAAATTCTAGTTGAATTCTCCGGAAGTATATATCCTGCAAAACCAGCAGGAGCAAAGGGTGCTTCCTGACAGTGCTGTGGATGGGGAGGCTCCATCTTGGATCTACTCCGCTGCCGCCACAGGGGCAGGAGAAACGGAGCAAACGAGAGATGCTTCGACAATTCCCGACTTCTAAAACAAATAGGCAGGGCTGGGGATTTAGCTCAGCGGCAAAGCGCCTGCCTGGCAAGCGCAAGGTCGAGAGTTCTGTTCCCGGTACCGGAGAAAAACCAAAACCAAAACCAAAACCAAAAACAAATAGGCAAACCTGGTGTGGACGCGTAAGTCAGAACTACTTTGTAAATTAAAACCCCACTTTCTCAGGTGGGGAACAGGAGGAGTGAGAACCCTCCCCAAGGACTCCCAGCATTCAGGTTTGAATGGCTGTGTAAGAAGTGAAAAAGATGAGCCCGAAAACAAAACGGAGCTGTCTAATCCCAACAACAACAATAGCTTTAATGTATGAAAGTTTCAATTTTTGGATATGCTTTTAAACGTATTAGTGGAAGCACCAGATTTGAACTCCAGAATACCCGCTGGCATCTTCACTGAGCAATATAATGTTACAGTGAAAATGAGCAGAATGGAATCGCTGTGAAAGCACAGCAGATAGGGTGGTACTAAGATGCACTACTTCTTTGGTAATTGTGTAAGGATGGCAATCTTATTTCAGAGTGTAAAACACTTAGTCAAATCTAAGATTACCCACGCATAAAGAAAACCATATTTGCAATCATTCTTGATGCATATTAATTGATATACATTACCAGAAATAATATACTGGTATTCATTACACCTGATTAAGAGCACAGCCTGATGTCATATTGTACAGCTAACATTTTCATAGTGGTTGAAGTATGAGTTGCCTTCTTCAGGGTAACACTGAAGAACCATATATTTCCGTATAACTTCAGTTAATGTATATGGTATTCGAGAGGAGGATACATTGGCTCCAGTTCCAGCTCTACCACTTACTATGTGTATGCCTTTCCACAACTTACTTTGCCTTTCTGCCTGTATTTCTTCACCTGTAAAGTGAAGATAATAAAAAGATCTACAGTGTGCAAGTGAGGAGGTGAAGATTAAATGACTCAGCACTTTCTAAAACACAGGTGTGTGCTCCAACGTAAGTGCTCCCCGGATGTTTGCACTTACTCAAATGTTGCAAAGCAGAAGACAGACCAAAAGGAGGCAGAGTCACACATTCAGGGAGCTAGGACTTCAATATTCACCTATGACACAGAAGGGCTTTCGGGCAAACCTCAGTCTTCCTTGCCATCCTCTGTACCGACAACAGCAACCCGCTGACCAGATTCGAATGATGAACTCCAAACCAAAGACGACAATCATCACGAACTCCTAAAATATCAGATAAAATACATCAGAGAGAGAAACCACAGTTAGTAGCTCTGTTACTATTTCTGAGCACCCAAGCATGTTGACTAAAGCACATCATTGTTAACGTCTAAAGTTCATCTTGTAACAAAGAACACCTAAGGAATACCAAATCCTGTCTAAATTTCCTATAGTAGAATCTGATTCATCTTCAGGTCACTAATACTGCACATTTAAGAATCAGTCTCAATCCTAAATGTACAAGTCAAATAATGGTCCTCTCTCCTCTAAAATAGAAAGGGTAGCTGACTGCAGCTACGTGGTGTATGCAAAATATCTGAGTTGAAAGTAGATTCTGAAATACAATTGCCAAGTTCTAAAGAGAACAAAGCTTTCATTTTGCTGCAAGGGGTGACATAATCCCTAATCCTTTATGAGTTGTTCTCAGACAAAAAGAAGTAAATACTTAGAAGCGTACTGAGCTCTTTTGTTACAGTGTCAAAATCTCCTCATAAAACAGTGAGTTTCAAAAGCATTACCCTGTGTGTGGCACATACAGCCACTGCCAGAAATGAGACTCCAGATTCTCCATAACTGAAGTTTGCTAATTATTATGCTTCCTGTTGGCAACAGCTGCCTGGAAAACAACACCTGTGCCAGCAAAATGACTTTGAGATTATTTAGGAAGAGTTGTGAGTTAACCCCGGGGGAAAGGCCAGCTAAAGTGGCTCATTAAACAGTCAGTCAAAGGAGGAAAAACCAGATGAAATTTGTAAAAGGGAAGTATCTCTGGCACAAGATCAGCACAGTCACTTGTCCCTGTAGGGACTGAATTTATTAAAACTATTTTTCTCTTTAGAATTCCATTTCTTGTTTTTAAACAAGGACTGACTCCGCATCTATCATGTGTAACAGTATTTATTGATGGATGCTTTCTTATAATGGCTCCATTGTAAAAGTAATGCAAGGTATTTATTAAAGTTCAAATATCACAGAAATATGGAGAATTCTGGACAGTAAAGGTTCCAGTCTATACTCCATCCTGTCACCCCATGCCCAAGATAAAAACTGTTCCAAATTTATAACAATGGCACTTTATGTCGCAAGTTTCAGACAAATGTCTTTTTCCTTAGTGAGAGTGTGTAAAGATATTCTGGAACTTTGAAATCACTACAGAGACATCTCATTCTATCCTTCTGTTATTTTGCACTAAATAATTCACAAATTCTTCTCACAATGAGAAATGAATCTCCCACAGCATCGGTGCTTACTCATGGTGATTTAGAACTACTTACAGGATGCATTCTGAGGATGATTTTAAGTACCGATAACTAAAACTATCATTAATATACTTACTCATTAATGCTCTGAAGGATTTGTTTAGCTTGGGCTTTGAATATATATCTACTGAATCTATTCAAACTGTCCAATCACCTGTTTTAAATCCAGAACATCTTTCCACATATAGAAATCATGCTGAGACCTAAACTGCCCAGGTAGTTGTGCCTGTACCCAGCCTACGTTTAACTGCAGCTCCATTCTTTTTCCTATCCTTGCCATTAACTTTGATTTAAGCCAGGAAGTCTGCCACTGCAGTCATGAAAGGTCATGCTCTAAAGGGTATCCAAGAAAACCTGAAATGTGGCCTGAACCCCCAGGTACTACCATGCAAGGAGTTTTCTTTTTCATGAAAACATGACAGCAATAGATGTGCGTCTATTGTTCTTAAGAAAGTGACGTCCAGGCCTATTGTTTCTATGTGCAATGAGACAAGTTAAATTATATAGGTACTGCAGCTTTTAAAAGTAAGAGAATCAAATGGATAACCTTATCTGCCTAAATGACAAATAAGAAAAGGATTAAATTCATGAAAACTTGACAGAGAGAAAATAGATAATCTAAACAGTCTTAGAACCTCTAAAGAAATTTAATTTGTAATTAAGAAGGAAAAGGAAATGTTCAGGCTATATGGTTTCACTGCTATAATCTTCCAAATAGTTAAGAAAAAATTATTCCATTTCATATAGTTGCTTCCAGAAAATAGACAAGGAGAAAATACTTTCTGATTCATTTTGTAAAGGAGACATAATTCAGTGGAGAAAGAATGAAATCCCACCCATGAAAACCTCCTTAAAAACCAAAACCTCTCTGTACCTCACACTATGCACAAAAATCAAATTAAAATGTTCATGGGCTTAAATATTAAACATAAAGCAATAAGACTCTTAGTGAAAAGTAATAGAGAAGGTTTTGGGGATTTAGCTAAGCAAAGAGCTCTTAGACTTGACATCAAAAGAACAAATAGTAAAAGAAAAATTGGTACATTTGCACATCAAAATGAAAACTTTTGGTCTGCGAAAGCTTACATGAAGAGGATAAAAAGACAGATTATAGACCAGGAGAAGGTATTTGTAAACCACATACCTGATGAAGGATTAATATCTAGAATATATAAAGAAAACTTAACATTCAACAGTGGTAAAAATGTGATCACAAAATTGGCAAGCAATACGAATAGAATTGTCATAGTAGATGCTCCACACCAGAGGTGATGTGCTGATCTCAAATACTCACACAGAAAGATACTGGACATCTTAGTCATTAGGGGGATGCAAAGAAAAATTAGTGTGACATTATTACACTGACATCAGAATGACTAAAATAAAAAAAAAATAGTGACCAAAAGTAGCAATAACACAATATTCTGGGGAGAATGTGGAGAAGCCAGATAACTCCCATGTCCTTGGTGGGAATGTAAAACAGTACAACCCATCAAAAAAACAATATTTTATAGTGCATTGTAGGACTTAACAGACAGTCACCACCTAACTCAGCCTTGAAACTCAGGCATTCATTTTAGAGGAATAAAAGCTTATGATTATACAAAAACCTGTACATGAAGGTTCACAGCAGATTTATTCATAAGGACCAAAACTCTAAAACAGCTCAGATGTCTTTCACCAGGAGGATGATTAAACAAGCTGTCTTTCACCTCTATCATGGAATACTATTCAACAAGAAAAATGCATGAATTATTTGTACCACAACTTGGGGAAATCATTAGGGAATTATGGTGAGTGAAGGAAAAGCCAATCTAAAAGATCATACATCATAGTATTCCATAACTTTACATTATTGTAACATTTTGCAATGTTTCCTAAAAACATTTAGAAATGGAGAACAGATCAGTGGTGGCTAGGGATTGGGCCAGTGGGGGAGGGAGAGGCAGGCAGATGGGAGGGAAAGGTGGTCATGGTGATACAAAGGGTGACTTGAGGGAGCCTTGTGGGGACTCAGCTCTTCTGTTTCTTCCCTGTCCTGTTAAGTACACAAATTTGCACGTGTCATAAAACTGAACAGAGTTAAATGCACCTATATAAATATGTACAGGTAAAACCGGAGATATCTGAACTAGTGGACTGTATGGATAGCACTATCTTGGTTGTGATAGTGTACTATATCTTTTCAAAATGCTACCATGTGGGAAAAATGTATACAGGCTACCCATATATTATTGCTTAAAACTGCATGAGAATCGAAAATTGCGTCAGTGAAGTTTTTAATGAAAAAGTCCTGGTCAGGAATCTAGCCAAGAGATTAGACTTCTAAGAGGAAATGTATTTTTCTCCAAGTCCACAGGCTACCTGATGTTGCCTGTGTTGGGCTAGTGTTACTCTCTGAAGCACCTTTTAGATGAGGTTGCATTTTATTTTCAAATGAGGTGGATATGTTTTGTTCAGGTGAAATGATTTCGATGAGATGTGGTTCTTAGGACTCTTGCTTGGCCAGCCACAAAACAGGCTCTGCTGCCTTTGCAGCACTTGGGCTTCCCTTGGTTCTAGTTGAGCTAAATTGCTGAAGAGATTAGTGAATAATATGGCACATGATTTACTGGGAGCAAAGTTGAACGGTATAGCTGGTATTATTAGTATTAACTCTGTCCTTCCTTGCTGAAGCTGGTAGATATTTGGCTTTGTCTGCCATCTTGTAGAACCAAGGGCAGGGCTTATGATTTGTGCCGCCTATGTGGAAGGAGGTACAGAATCTCCTCATCAGGGTTCACACAATTTTGGTAAAACATAGAACATCTTTTCTATTCTTATTAAAGACCAAGGAAATGCATGTAGAAATGAAGAAACCTACAAAGCAGTGGTAGTGCTCATCTAGAATTCTACAGTAGCTATTGAGACTACTTGTGTAGCTTTAATTAACCTTCTTTTCCAGATACTGAAGAAACTTCTTTATATGTTACATCAGAGGACTGTGACATTACATTCATTGATGTATTTGGCTTTGATATATCATTCAAGATCTATGTCCTTTCTTGCAGTTACTTATTTTTTCTAGTCACTTCAAGTGGTTTTAAGTAAAGACCGATTGATTTTTCTTGGTACAAATTGACGATGCCTAAAAGCACATGTTCTAGTTGTTTTCTCTCTAATTAGCAGCACTATTCTTTAAAACCAGTGACCTTTGTCTAATCTACAAGCTGTCTGCCATGACTATGAGTTTTTTATAGCTAGTTTTATGCCATCAAATAGCATTTTTGTGTAGATGAAATACCAGCATTAGAGACCCTGTGACATGTGCACCAGTTCTTGAAGAGCTGCGGCTAATTAGACATACAAAATTGGAACCACTGCTTCATTGCAAATATCAACACAATAAATTTCTGGTTATTTTTGTTCCTGTGTGTGTGTGCGTGAGCAAGTACATATACTTAAAGTAGCATAGGATGAGCAGGCCAGCATACCTCCTCACATAATCCTGGCAGGAAAGAATTTGTGACATCAACTGCACTGTAAGTTGCAAAGAAAGGCATCAGATGAGTTGCACTTATAATACTTTGTAATTTGGTAAATTCTACCAGTCTAATTCATAGTTGTGGAATTAAATTCAGATTGAGAAATGGCTTCTCACTTAAATCGGAATGTGGAAATACATATACATGATCTTTTTGACTCTTCTTTCTTTGGAGAACAGAAAACTATCCCAAAAACATATTTACCAACCATTACCTATGG